CAAACAAAATAAAAATAAAAAAGCTAAGAAAATGCCATCTCTTAATAAAACCAAACTTAATATGTAGGCATCCAAACTAGACCCTTCTGGAAGGCACGCTCAGCCCACAGGGCCTCTCTGTGTCTCGCGGGCTCTGTGCAAGATGGGGCTTCTGTGGCTGCGGAGCAGGGAGTGGGAAGCTGGGGAGAAGAGTGAGGGGCCGGGATGAACGCCCTCTCCTTGTCTCCTCCACAAGCCGCTGAACCCAGAGGAACTCGGTGCACCCTGGCCCTGGGAAGCTGGGCACGGTGGCCTTTTCCTTGGGCCTGTGCCCAGGGTGCAGCTGAGGCCGCTTGGGAGCCCAGAGCAGGTGTAAGAGCCGGTCCACTCCCAGCTGCTCCTGTCTTGTGGCTAGATGATGTCCATGTCCTCAAGGGCCCCGTTACGGCCTGAGAGCGGCCCTCTTAACCTCTTCCTTAGCCGCAGAACCGCACCCCCACCCCAGTGCAAAGACACCCCCCCCCCCAGGCCGTGGCTGGTTCTCTGACTTTCCTACCGCTCAGAGGATGGGTTTTGAAGGCGCAGGATGCAGCAGGGCCTGTCCTCGTCCGAGCTCTCTGTGGGCTGGCTTCGTCTCTGGTCCAGCTCATCTCTGGCTGTGGGACACTGCAGAGAGCAAGTCAGGCACCGGCCAAGCATTCCGTGTCACCCTTCAGAACGAACTCCAACTCCGGTTGCCAGAGCCAGAGCCAGATCCAGCCTGTTGTCTGTTTCTCCGTGCAGAACCAGGCCTCCAATGCGTCTGAATTTCTCTCACTCTTCTTGAACCTGAAAAGGAAAAACAAACTAAGCAGCCTGCGACCCAAGTTGGGCAAGCCCTTGTTTGCAGGCCCCTGGGCCTGGCTGGCCCTGGCTGCTGTTTCCAGGCCCAGTGCTGCAGACTATAGCAGGGGCAGCAGCCATCCCCCGACCTGAGGCACAGGGAAGCAGTCCTGATCCCAGAATGGTGGGCAGGGAGCAGAGGCTGACCCGGCTGGCTGTCCCCATCCTGTGAGCCTGATGCATACAGGGTGGTCCCTCAGTTCTCCATTCTACGCACAGACCAGGCACTCTGTGCCCAGGGACACCCAGGCCCGAGTATGCAGGAGCCTAACTCAGGCTTGGCCTGTGGACAGCGTGGGCAGAGTGTGGACACAGAGGATGGGAGAATGAGGCTTCCCGTCCTCTGTCATCGCGAGGCATCCGGGACCTTGCAGCTTCCGGATGGCTCTGGAACTTTCCACCACCAGACAACAGGGACAGGGAGTTTCCCACTCGGAAGCCACTTGGGCTGGAGCCTTTGGTGGGCCCTTGGTGGGAAGGGGTATGCCCCTGTGTTTTGCAGAGGTCTCCTTTAAATGGCCCCTGTGTGTCACTCGTTCTGTCCCCTGTTGAAATGATGAAAATTGCGGTCATTGATAAAATGATAACAGCTAATTACCATCTTAAGCGTGAGCCAAAGAAGCTGTGATCCCTCTGAGAACGGTTGGCAAATGGCGATGCCCATGTGGTGTGAAGGGTGAGTCAGCTCCTCTCCCACTAGAGGGCTCCTCTGGCTTCCCAGGCAGCCGGGGCAGCCAGCTCCACCTGGACAGATAAACCATGTGTGCTGGGGTTCTCCTGGGACTCCCAGGAACAGAGGGGATGGAGAGACTGCCTCCAGCCCACACAGCAGCCTCCACGCCAGCCGGCCCACCTGCCAGCCCAGCCTCCTGCCCCTAGGAGCACAGGTATCTCCATGCCACCTAAGAAAAGTGGCCACGGGGTTTGGGAGGAGATCCCACCTCCGCTGAGCCGGGTGCCCCGTGCCGGGCCCTGCTGTGTGGTGTCAGGGTGAGGAGGGACCTGTCACCCAGACAGTGATCCAGGCAGCAGTGAGCAGTGGCTTGGGCAGCAAGTGTGCAGGGGGTCCCACAGGCAAGAGCTGGAGAATGGCCCACCTCTGTCACTGAGGGAGGCACCACCTGGCCCTGGGCTATGTGACTCCCGAACTCTAAACCATTGCTGGGCCTTCTTCCTTGGTCGGCCCTGATTCGTGCGAGAAGCATAAAGGGAGTGTGTGTGTGTCCCATGAATATTGGAGCAAAAGGGCCCGTACCCTGGGAACAAAGACCCAAGGCTGTCTTGAGATAAGTGGTGAAGGAGATAGCTTGTTCTGCCTCTTGTAGCTTGTAAAGTTCTCCTGACAGTCACCCCTAACTAGGTTCTTCTCCAGCCCTTTCCAGAGAAGGAGTCAGGCAGGCGCTTCCTTGTAGCACCTGCGTGCCTGGCAGCCAGACACTTTTATTGGTGTGCCTGCCTTGGCAAGCTTTGCTGCGTAACAGGGGACCGTCATCCTCACTGAGAGACGCCACAGCCATGAGTTTAGCTCACGATTCTGCGGCTCAGCGATGGGGGCACTGCCCAGCTGGACAGTTATGCTGGCCTTGGGTGGGCTCTTTCCATTGGGAGCTGGCTGGTTTGGGGGACCTCAGCTGGGGCACCTCATGGGTTTTAGCTGGGCTGGCCCAGGCTTGTTCATACAGCAGTGGGCCCAGGAGCCACAACAGAGGGGCCAGGCCCCACTGCACAAGCACTTGTCCAGGCTATGCTTACTTCACACCTGATAATACGCCATTGGCCAAGGCAAGCCATGTTGCCAAGCCCAGAGTTGGTGTAGGAAGTGGGTGCTGGGGGTGCAGAGAGGGTTTTGTGGCCGTTTTTTATAGCGCTTCTACCACCATGGTGTTGCTTCGTCTGAACTCCAGCCTGGTGGGACAGACCAGCCTCCAATTTTACAGAGCCATGCACAGCCCTATTTGATGGACATGTGTGACACAGACCCAGAGAGGTGGGAAGTGCTGTCCATGGTCACACAGCATGCTGGCGACAGGGCTAGGCTGGGAAGCCCTTCTCTCTGGGGCCAGCCCACTGCCTCACCTCCACCAGTGAGGCAATACTGGGCCGGGGGGGAAATGCAGTTTCACCCAAAGCCCGCCCCCCTCCCCCAGGCAGCTGGACACCAGCAGAGACCCCACAGACCCTGGGCTGTACCCTCCATGGGCACAGTCCCCTGGAGACCACTACTGCAGCCTCCTGGCCCTGTGGCTTCCAAGCGTGGCTGGGCACAGAGTGGCAGGCTGGTGGATTCTCACCAGCCCATGAGCCATTTCTCCTGGCATCCTGTGCACATGTGTGTCCCTTTACATGCCTCACGTGAGTTCATTCTGTCTCTCCTGCACCTGCCTGAGACCCAGGGTCTGCAGGAGAATAAAGATGTGAGCCAGGAGATCTGGGAGACACGCAGCCTGCTCTGGCCCCGTGAGTCCCGCATGCCTGGGCGACAGCACCCTCTGCTCTGCTGGCCAGATCCCTGTTTTCCAAAAACCTGCTCCTCGGTGAATTCCACCCAGGCACCCGGCCACCCCCGCTTCCACTCCTTGGCCTCCCCAGGGATGCGAGCCAGTGAGGAGCTGGGAAGGAGGACCGGAGTCCTTGGCACAGCCCCTGCACTGCGATTGTTCCTGCTGAAGGCCTGAGGCACAGTGGCACTCTGGGCCAAGCTGCAGGAGGGCCAGCACTGATGACTCTGACAAATGAGACCCTGAAGGGAAGGGCAGCAAGCGCCAGGCTGGCCTGTCCCGTGCTGCTCTGCAGGGTTTCAGAATCGGGCTCGGAGACCCCAAGCCGTGGATGGCCCACACAGCAGGCCCCTTTCCGCTCAGAGGTTTGGGCACAGCCGGCGCTTCCCCAGATGGACAGACGCACGGAACCCTGGAGCTCCACGCTGGATCCTTTGTCAACTCCTTTAGTAAAGGGGAGACAGGGAGGAAACACTCAAGATGTGAACTCTGACCCGGACACTCATAGCCAGAGCCAAAGTGATTAGGGAAGGGTCAGCGCTGTGGCGCAGTAGGTTAATCCTCCACCTGGAGCACGGGCATGCCATTTGGGCGCCAGTTCTAGTCCCGGCTGCTCCTCTTCCAATCCAGCTCTCTGCTATGGCCTGGGAGCCGGCCCAGCCTTGTCCACAAATCACTGTTGATTGAGGCTGGAGGGCCCCAGGCAGAGGAGAGAGGCTTCCAGGTGTACAGGTGAGCAGGGCAGGGCTGCACCCCGCTTCTGTCGCCGTGCCTAAGTGTCAGCGAGTAGCAGTGATGCCCCCCAGGGTTTGGCTGCTCCGAGGGGCAGGTGCAGTGACTCTGTGCTCGCTCCTCTCCTAACCCTGCAGGGAGCGTGTACTTGCCAGGTGAGAATCTGGATCATGACTGGGCAGACCCTGACGGCAGATGAGGAGCTGGGCAGGTAGCCCAGGGGAGGCAGGATGAAGGCACAGCTGTTCTAGCCCCAGTGGTCTGCCCAGGGGCCCAGGTTAGCAGTTGCATTGGACAACAGTGGGAGTGGCTCAGAGGAAGCTACGGTGAGTCCTTGAGGACGCCCCCACTCTGTGCTGCCGGGGCTCCCACAGCAGCTGGGGGATGGGGAGGTACTTACTGACAATACTGTTGTGGAAAGATGCAGGTGCAGCAACATCAGGGTACCTGAGGCAGGGCTGAGCCGTGCCAACTCGGCGGGCAGTCAGGGAACCCACCAAGGATGGAACTGGGTGCAATCATGGCATCTTCACATAGGAGGGGAGGAAGCTGGGTCTCCAAAGCTGAGGACACTTTGTGACCAAGCCCTGGGGGCTGGGGAAGCCATTGTCCTTTTATGGAAGGAAGAGAATGACTTGGGCTTTGGAACTGCAGCCTAGCACAGGCCCTCCCAGCCTGGGGCACCTCTGTCTGACCGCAGTGGGTTCCTCCCATAGCAGTGGGAGCTGTGAAAAGCAAACTGCTCTGGCCTTAGACCAGAGCGGCCACGGGTGCCGGCCCTCAGCCAGGTGCTGAAGTCTCCCAGGCTCCCCAGGTCCACCTGCCTGCCCGCAGGGCCTCCAGGCTCTCGTGAATCCGGGTTCTCGTGAGTCGGGATGTTAGCCTTGCCTGTCTTCTCGCCCTCTGCAGGCACCGGCCCGAGCTACGCCACAGACCCGCTGCTGTCCCTGCTCCTGTTAGCTGTGCACAAGGTCCTGCGGCTGCTGCTGGGGCACTGACACCATTTGCCGCACCCCCTGGGGGCCGCCGCGTCGCCAGATGGACATGGACAGGCTGAGAAAAGCATGAAGAAGCCACGTGGGAAATAAAAATAAATCATATTTTTGGGGAAGTTACACAAATGTAGAACACCTAAAATAATGCATCTAGTTTCCAAATACGATGGAGTTTGGACCGTGTAGTGTGCACGGCTCAACATTTCTCTACTTTGATGTATCTTTCTTTTCTACACTTTTCCTCCAAGTCTTCATTTTGCACGAACTGTTGAGCAGTTATCTTTAGGATAATATGGGGAAAATGTTGGGTCTACGCCTTTCTGACAAAGCAAAATATTTTTTAGTAGATTATTGTGTTTAGGATTTTTTTTTATTTTACTTTTTTCCTTTGGGGGCTTTTTTAATTAAATTATTTCTTTTGAGACATTTGATTAAACAAAGACATCTTATCATAATTAAAATCCACTGTCAATAATATTTATTTTTAAATAAAGATTGGAAACAAGGCCAGACACTTGTTTATAAACCGTATTGTATATTGCTGAATAACAGTTGAATAAAAAACAACTTTGGAATAACCTCTCTACAGCCCTCTATGAATGTTAAGCCTTGGTGCTCGCTGCGGCCTGAATGCCGTAACCTCCTGTTCCCTGACACCAGCTGCACTCTTGCCTGGATGTCACCCAGCGTGGAGGACAGCCCAGGGCGCCTGGCTGAGGCCAGCTGGAACAGATGGGCGCCCTTGTCCGGCTTCCCCAGGGGGAGGAGTGACAGGAGCGCCCAGCCTGTCATGAAGCGAAGAAGACCACTAGGGGGCACTGTGATGCAAATCAGGAGCCGCTTGCTCAGACCAGTTGTGCCACCATTGGCCTGCTTGGAGTCTAGGAGGGCATTTCAAGAGCTTCATGGAAAAACAGAATTAAAAGCCAAGTTTGTTTTGTGCAGAAACGTTTTGAAATCCATGAAGTTTCCTCGTCAGACCCAATTTCTGGGCATTTATCATTATAAGCATCATTGGTGGGACCTTCCGCACAGGCTCTCTGCTTGAGACTGAAATCTGTGGGTTTGGAGCAAGTTACATTTGTCGTAAAAGAACCCCATCTAGGGCCAGCGGATTAAGCCACCTCTTGTAACGCTGGCATCCCATATCCGCGTGCCAGTTCGAGTCACAGCTGCTCCTATTTTTTTTTTTAAAGATTATTTATTTGAAAGAATTACAGAGAGAAGGGGGAAAACAGAGAGAAAGAGAGAGAGAGAGAGAGCTTCCATCGGCTGGTTCACTCTCCAAATGGCCTCAACGGCCAGGGCTAGGCCAGGCCAAAGCCAGGAGCCAGAAGCTTCATCTGGGTCTCCCACATGGGTGTAGGGTCACAAGCACTTGGGCCATCTTCTGCTGCTTTCCCAGGCACATTCACAGGGAGCAGGATTGGAAGTGGAGCAGCCGGAACGAGGACCAGTGCCCATATGGGATGCCAGCACTGTATACAGTGGCACTGTGCCACAGCACCGCCCCCCCCCCCCCCCGCTGCTCCACTTCCAAGTGGAAGTGAAGCAGAGGATGAAAAAACCTGGCTCTATGTCTCTCCCTCTCTCTCTGCCTCTATTCCTTTCAAATAAATAAATTTTTAAAAAGAAAAGAAACTGATATGCCCAGGGGGCATTATCACGGACGGGTTTAAATCTAGCCAGATTTTTGCACCTGCAGTTTAGATAAGCAAGGTTGCCATTAATACTGCTCAGCAAATGCCTCCACTCTCCCATGGCCAGGCACTTGGTAGGACTGTGCTCCCTGGCCTGCAGCAGCTGGGATGCCAGCTCTGGCCCCACGCACGGTGCAGCAGGAGCACCAGTTCCCAGCATTGTGCTCCTAGTTCAAGGCCTTCCAAAGCTCTGGCAGCCAGGGCCCTCTGAGGGACTGCAGTGGGCACAGCCTCCCCCTGCTGGCCAGCACTTGGATGTGCAGCAGGACGAGGAGTCCGCTTTGGCCACTTGAAGCTGCTGAGTTTGGAGGCTACTTATTACTGCAGCCGAAGCCCCCCACCCTGCGCCCCGACTGGCTCAGGACTGACTTGACTGGCTGCATTTGGTTGAAAGGAAAGAGAATCTGCATCTGGACAAGAGACCCCGTGTGGAGCTCGTGCGTGGGCCCGGCTGTGTGAGGGAGAGCTCAGGACTGCCGCTCCCGCTGGGTACACGAGGTTGTCTCCTGTTTCATTCTGTCGCTCAGCACCGAGCGAGCTGCAAGTCAGTCGTTCTGTCCGCTGGGCAGTGACTCTGTCCAGGAGGAGCCTCTCTTTTTTTCTGGTTTACTCAGTACTGCAGCGGGCTAATGTCCTGTTGATACTGGCCCCTGGTGCCCGCAAAGAAGGCGCTTCCCGCACACCTGGTTCTCACGGAGAGCACGGAGTGTCCATGATGAGCTTCCCGGGCTGGGCTGACGACATTGTGCCCGGTCACTCCAGGGAACAGGGAGCTGAGGAACCACATCCCGTCATCAAAACCAGACCCTCTGTAGTCCTGCCTTGGCCTGGGAGCTCCTGATCCTGGCGTGATGCATGCTGGGAAGGGAAGGCAGGTGCGCTTGGGAGAAACTGATCGCCTGGTTCTGCACAATGAGGTAGCACCTCAGACACAGAGGGGTCGCCCTAAAGTCTGCATCCGGGCACCAAGCTCTTCCAGGAAGGAAGCCACGGATGAAGCTGGCCAGGGTCCTTGAAGCAGACTCCTCTCCTGCCTCCAGAAGCTGGTGGAACTCAGACCCAGCGAGGCCACACACAAAGCTCAAGCAGTCCCCCCTGGGGCTGCCTGCTGTGGGGCCGGTGTCAGCACCCGTGCTGGTGCAGGGCCCTGGACACAAGGCAAGGAGATGACCAACAGATGCCCGGAGTCCACAATGCAGACCGTGGCCTGGTGCTCTCGGGGGTCTCCTGTGCAGCACTCTGAGAACCAGGACAAAGAATGGGCAGCCCGCACTGGGTTTTATGAGCTGCCACACAAACCAAGAGTGATAAGCACCCGCCAGGGGCGGGAGACACAGCGTTGCACTCACCACGCAAACCGCTTTTCCTTGGCATTTTGGTTTGCGCACAGGGCAGACACAGGAGGGGGCCCAAAGACAAGATGATTTCTTTCAGTCTAAGAAAGTTGCTGAGGGCGAGCAGGCACCCTGGCCCCAGCCAGCCAGGACGGCCCGCTCTACTCGAAGGGGCTGTGGAAGGGCGTGGGTCAGTGTCGCCATCTACACCAAACTGAGGGGAGTACAAACCCCATCCCAGCCAGAGGCTGAGCGAGCCAGGGGTGGCAGGGAGAGGGAGCCACACTCCATAGCCAGTGCAGGAGCCCTGCGTTCCGCAGTGGGCCAAGGGCTGCCTCCTCCTCCATGGGTTTGCAGCCCTGGTGCTGCTGCTGCACCTGTGCCCTTGAGACAGCAGCCAGTGTGTCAGGCCTGGCCTTGGGGAAGGACGGACGTGTTTGACAGGTGACGTGAACAGGGGCAGTGGGGCTCTGGCTTTCGGTTCTCGCTCAATAACCCCGCACGCCTGGCTGCAGCTCTGACCCAGAAGCAAAGGAGACTGCCCTGGGTGGGGAGGAATCAGACGGCCGTGCGGGGGCCGCTGAGCCGGGGCCAAGGGCCTTGACCTTCACCGGCAGGGGGACAGTTCCTGCTCACTGTTGCACTGCTTCTTCCGAACAGGTCGGGCAGCACTGTGCATCCACCGTGACAGAAGGCCCAAGGTGCAAGTGCTGCCTGTGTGTATGCACATGTCCGTGTTAGCAGATTCCTCCCAGTGAGCGACAGCAGCAGGAATGATCTAGCCCCAGCGAGACCCCAGCCAACCGGGACACCCACTCTTCACACAGTGGTGCCTCTGACCCTTGGGACTCCCAGAAGAACCAGCACCCCCCACCCCTGCATAAATACCGTTTAGCCCCTCCCAGAAACACGTAGAACATCTGTAGCCTGTATGAGGGCCCCATCCTTTGTGGCTGCAGACACAACATGAGGTAAAGTCTGGAAACACCACCAGAGGTGACCCCTCATACAAGGCAAAGACCTGTGGGAGTGACAAAAAGGTATCTCAGGTCACAGAAAGCGTGACTTCACACCAAGTCTAACCCGCCACCAACTAGCCCAATCCCAGCAAAGACCGGATCTGCAACTGATTCATTTTAAAGGGAGGAGTGATCAGGAGACTCAGTAGGAATACAGGTGACGCTTTTTAGATTTTGTAGTGAGGAATGATTCCCAAGATGAGACTCAAAAAGTGCTAACTATAAAAGAAACAATGGATAATTTGGACTATGTTGTAACCACTTGTTCATCAAGCCACCCTAAATAAAATGAAGATAATTGGAGAATACAATCAGCAAGAGTAAACAATCATATCAAGAGTATACAAGGGGGGTCAGTGTTGTGGTGCAGCAGGTGAAGCTGCCACATGCAATGCCTATATGGTGCGCCGGATTGAGTCCCAGCTGCTCCACTTCTGATCCAGCTCCCTGCTAATGAGCATGAGAAAGCAGCAGAAGATGGCCAAGTGCTTGGGTCCCTGCCACCCACATGAGAGACCAGGATGAAGCTCCTGGGTCCTGGCTTCAGCCTGGCCCAGCTCTGACCATTGTGGCCTTTGTGGAGTGAACCAGCAGATGGAAGACCTCTCTCTCTCTCCCTCTCTCTCTCCCCCCAACTCTGCTTTTCAAATAAGTAAATAAATATATTTTAAAAGAGTGTATAAGGACTTCCTAGAAATCAATAAGGAAACAAGCAGCACAGTGGGAAAAATGAACAAGAGACGTGAACACCTTAGCACGGGAGAGAGAACACAGCCCATAAATGGATCTCAAGTATCCAGCCTCAGGGGTGATGAACAGAACTGCAAATCAGAGCCACAGTGATCACACCCACTGAATACTAAACATTTCAGTCTTACAGTACCAAATGTCAGAGAGGGTGTGAATCCACAAGCTCATTCATGCACAGAGAACACAACTTGTTATACCCACATTGGAAAGCGCTTGGGTGCCAATTCTTAAAGTTGAGCATTCAAATGCACTCTGACCCAGAGATTCCACTCCTAAGTGTTGAACTCTTGCTCATGTGCACCAGGTGGCATGTAAGCAAAAACTTCCTGGCAGCAGACAAGCTGTCGTATACAGGAGAGTGGGTCTCACCACAAACAAGTGAGAGGAGCGACTCACGGTGGAAACTGATACAAGTGTCACCGTGAGTGAACCACAAACAGCCAGCCACCGAGTGGTGACTCTGAGCATCTCTTTGTCAAGAAACGACAGTCTCAAAAGACTGCATACAGGCCTTGGGTGATCACTGACATCATAAGAGCGTCAGTTATTAAATCAACAACAGGAGTCACTGTGCACTCGCTCCCCATGTAAACCTCTGTCCTTAATAAGTGGTACTATGAGAATTAATGGTAGATCTAGTCTTCAAACAGTTTTTTATACTTTGGGTGTCTGTGTGGATGCAAACTATGGAAATATTTATTTCATATAGAGTTGATATTCTGTGTATAAAGATAATTAAAATGAATCTTAATGAAGAATGGGATGGGAGAGGGAA